TTTTCCAAACTAAGTGCTAAAAATTAAAAGGTTCTAAGAAAAAATGATTAAATAACAATTTATTTAATTTTGATCTTACCATTTTCAAACAAAATAGTCAAATAGCCATAAATAAGATGGTATTCAAACTGTTATTTTTATAAACAAAGTGCCTAAAATTAAGAATTTCTAAGAAAAAAATGCATACTTTTTCATAGCAATAAAAACAACGATAAATTCAAACAATAAATGCAGTTTGAAAAGCAATAAAAACAAACGATAAATTCATCGTCCAATTAGTAGTTAAGCTTATTTCCACAGTTAAGCACTCTTGATATTTGGTCGGAAAGTGTCATTTTACTACAGTTTGGAAAAGAATGGTTCTTTTTTTTTAATGCTCTAACATTAGATTAGAAACTCAGCATATATACCCATGAAATCAACATAATTTTTCTTTATTAACACTCTACATGCTTTGATGAATAAATATCCAAACATTTAATAAAATTGAAATAAAACTAACAGCCAAACGATTAAAGGGAATTTCGTAAATTTAATAGAACTAGTAAAATAAAGCAATAAATTAAACATCCAATCAGTAGTTAACTTATTACAGCAATCCAGTCATTTTAACATTTTAACGTTTGTTTTGCATTTTGCCTCATTTTGGAAAAAAAGCATTGTCTTTTTAATACCCTAATATTTACACAAGAAAATCTGTTTATATTTAAAAAATTTTATTTTTTCAAGCAAATATTTAAAGAAACAACAGAAAATTGTCAATCATTCCAGTAGTAGTATAAAAGTTTCAACTTTTACCCTGAGGAATATCCATTGTTTTTAAATGTGTCAATTTTTTTAATTCCATTTTCCTATATAAATACGGTCTTCTTCACTCTGATCATTTGGAACCAATTTGAATTTTTTATGGCCAATGGGTATTTAAGAAGTTTTTAAGTTCCAAGATTTTCCACATAATATTTTTTTTTATTTCCTATGAGCAGCACAATCGGTCTTCTCGATGAGCAGACCTAGTGCGTTCTCCAGATGTGGTATCCACTCTTTCAGGAACACCACAATGGGTGAGATACCGTTGGCCATGTTAATTTGGACGTTTAGTTTCTGCCACACTAGATGGCAGCATCGAGACTCTATTTGGAGGCTAAAGTGCTATAGGAATTTAATTTTGCCGGAAATGTCAAGAGCCAATACGGCACTCCAGGGATCTTTTTCATGCCGCATAATATTATAGAATATGGATTTTCAAAAAAGTTATTAGAACAAAAGGTTATATCATTTCTGAAAAACTATAAAGATAAAAAAAGAAAATATAGAAAGGGATTTTTTCTATAGATTGAATACCTTGCAGGCCAAACAGTCTAAATGAAAGAGTGTTCTTAAACCTTTAATGTTGCTTTCTGCAACTGGTAAAGAATGAAAATGTTAACAAATCTCAAAATCATTTGATTGATATTCTGCAAGAATATGAGATGCAAGTTAGATTTTATCTGAGATGTATTCAATTTTGTGTGGCTGCTGCACCAGTAAAATAAATCAGAACAAAATCATACTTCGTACGTAATTTGAATCCACACATTTTATTTTTATTAAAACAAAACAAAACAAAATATTGAACAAGAATTGCGTGTCACAGCACAAACTTCCAATCAAGCTTGTACCCATTCTTCTGAAGCCAGGTGGGCATAAAGGCACCAACGGAGAAAGAATCATATTCCGTCTCAATGATCACTCAGTACCTTAACCCATGTCCGTTTTTTGCTCACGTGGATGAAAAATATAATATAAAAATAAGAATTATAAGAATTAAAAAGCAAATACCTTTTCAAAAACAATTGTTATAAACTATTGGATAGTACACTGTTAGAAATTTCTTCGATAAAACGGTTTAATAACAATTTATTTAATTTTTATTTTACCATTTTCAAACAAAACAACCAAAATTCTTAAATAAGATGGTATTCAAACCGTTAACTGTGATCAAAACCGTTTATTAACTGCTTTCACCTAATACGGATAAACAAGCAGAATTTTAACTCACCAACTAGGTCCACCTATTGAAGCCACCTATTTCCCTGCATCCGGTTACTAAATGTTACAATAGCTGAAAGGGCTAATCTACCAATCTCAAGACAGGAAGTACAGAGATTCGAAGAACAGTTTTTATATCACAATATTTCCTCCGTTCTTGACCATAATGTTAGATTAAAAATTCTAACAGTGTATGACTAAAACTAACAGAAATATTGAAAAAATAATGCTGCCAGGAAAACTTTTTAAACTTTTTTTCCCTTAAGCATGCAAGGGTTTACCATATTATTTACAAAGAAACCCAAACTAAAATTTGAAACAAGCCAAAAAAGATTATTTTGCTTTCAAGTATAAATAATTCCTCGGTTATTTTAAATAAAGCACTTGCTTGAATTGTAATCCTAAAAGCCCTGCACCGAAGCAAAGAGACGAAAAAAGACCCCTGGAATAATTCTCATGTTCCTATCAAATTTCGCACAATGGTTGCGACTATTATCCCATTACTATTCTTCACGGTCCGAGTAAATTAATTCTGTTTCCTCTTCTTAGTTTTCGGAAACTCTAGCACTTACTTAGACGAAGATGTCATCTAATTCCATCTAAATTTAATTTTCAAGTAATTCTTTATCCTATAACAGGATTTACACTGTCGTTGAATCTCAAAAATAAATGCAGAATCCTAAAATATATTTTACTTTGCCTCCTTTGTTTAAATGACAAAATAAATTTTAGCGAAAATTTTTCTAAAGATTTTAGATTTCTTTTAAGGAGATTCTTTTTTTGCTAGAATGTAAATAAAATATTATGTAAGTTCTGGTGCTATTTCTTATTTAACTTAAATTAATTATTTTTTTTTAACTTGTTCAACTTAACAATTTTCTTATGAACAACTAAAATTCAAAATCGGTTTTTGATGAATATAACAGTGTAAATCCAACTGAAAAGGTAGAAAATAACAAAATGATATTGAAATTATGTTGTAAGTACCAATTCAGTTAAATGATTTGTAGCATGATTAAAAGTTTCTCTTATCATAATATTAGTTCGCCAAACATGTTCATAGTAATATTAGTCCTATATTCAGAATTGCAATTGTAATTCTTGTTGAATTGCAATTGCTATTCGACTCAGATCTGGAGATCAGAGTAGAAAATCCCTTCAATGAATATCTTCACTTCTCAGGAAACACACAGCAAGGGACGAGGTCTACATGGCCACGTGCTGCTGTTTATTTAAAATACTTTTCAACATTTTCAGTTTATTATCTTTTTTACAAACTGAATAATTTTTTTTTCCTTTTGATATGAAACTAAATAATCAAAAATTCAGTAATGATCAACATTGCAAAACCATGCACAAAATTAAAAATGCGGATACAATAATACGGCATAATTATATCGCTCGAAACCAACTCCTGACAGTCAAAAAATACCACAATCAGCAATTTTCTGCGGTATTTATACCATTCGGTAGGCAGTAAAAAATCTATTTCCCCAGCACTCGTAATAGGTATCATGATACACACAGTAGTATATATTAAAACAGTGCCAATTAAATGATATCGTTAATACTTATTACCAAAATTTTTTTAATTTTTCTGATAATTATTTTTGAATTGTAAATAAGAATGGGTTCATCAACACTCTTTAATATGTCTGAGCTCAATTAGTATATTAAGTGTTAAATCCAAACTTATATGTTTGACTAAACTAATGGCCACTTTTCCATAAAAATCTCCATAGCTCAGCGAAGACAGATTACATCTACGTATGAACGAAACACATAGATTAATAGTAAACTTTATTTTGATTCCTGTAAGGTGAGATTGCGGTGCTGGTGCAAATTATACTTGAGTATAAACATATCAGAGCTCCATTGACATTGGATTAACCACGAGAATATTTCGTGGTTATTACCTCCATTTTGAGTAAATACTGATTAGTTTCAGTTAAGAGAATTTTTCTTGAAGGTGAATGTGATTTTGTTCCTTAGGCAGCTGTTCTCTTATTCTCTTTCAGATTCAAGGTTAAGAAGCTGAAATTAAAACAAAAATTACACATTCACAGAGTGGATTGATGTTCAACGGCGGAGTGAAGTTATAACCTAGATTGTGAACAGGAAAAATGCCTAACTAATCATGAGAGGACGTAGTATACCACGATAGAAAAAAAAACTAAAACTGTTTTATAAGCATTTTTGAACATTAAAATATGTTATTCTGCATTATTTTTAAAGAAAATTTTTAAATAGTTTGTATTTCCACAATTATACCAAGATATTTTCAGTATTAAAGCTAATAAAAATGCTTCAATTAATTTCAGAAATACCTTTAAATGTAACAAAATGGTATAATATATAGACCACAAGCAGCGCTAATTAAATGAATACTTTTTCAAAATCAAAACGAATTCGGACGAAGAAGGGAAGATAAAATTTTATACCTGTTTGTTCTAAAATAAGGTTGCTAAAACTTTATTCTATGAATATAAGCCTAAATACATGTATATTGATTTTATCTTTTCAAACAAAATTATATTCGATGAAAAACATTAAAAATCATCCATGAAAACAGGCGAACGTTACGCACAAAAATACATTAAAATATTTCTATGTAAAAGAAATAGAATCAAATACAAAGAAACTCAAAAATTTTATAAGTTATACCTTCACAAACATTTTTAAAAACGCAAATAATTAAACAAAAGGGCCGCATAAACTTTACCGCTCATTTACTCAATTTCACTTATTCGGTTCTTCCACTAGGAGCTTCATATATATCCTTTAGACATAAAAATAATTCATCTTTTAAGAAATTCATTATGGTTCATTGAAAAATATAATTTTCGTCCCTTTAAAACGCTAAGTCACCAGCAACGTCCTTATTAAAACTTAAGACAATAGAAAGCATATTCTATTATTGGTAAAATATGAAAACAGTGGTGGGCATAGTAGAAAACACAACAGCTTCATAGTTATTATAAAGTGTTATTTTAATAAAGTGCGTGCTTTATAATACTGCTTTTTACTAAAACCATAATTTCTTTCGGCAAAAAAATAACAAGTATAACCTATGGTAGATATTGCTAACATTATGTATATTTTAACATATGTGCATATATAGTTGTTGTATGCGTAAGCCACTGCACATCCTAAAGCATGATAGAGCTGATAACACCCAAAACCAGTTTCTTCTTCTTCTTTAAAAATGAGTCCAATAAATGCTGAAAGACAAAAAATACAATGAAGCGTAAACTTCTAATCAGGATATTTTGCAAAAACCAAATTCAACACTTGCTTATTTAGATTTTTTTTTCAAAAATAAAAAATGCGTATGTCTTAGGTGTCCCTAATAGATATTTAAGCGAAAAACTCATGACCACCGGTTAATTTTTTTTCAAATCACTCGTAACCACGAAAGTTTCAATGCCGATAAAACTTGGAGTTGTTACTAAAATCAATCTTTAACTCTTTTTTATTATTTCCAGCAATCAAACAAGGATATATATATATATATATATATATANTTAAACAAATTTATATTTCAAATTTACAGGACTTCTCGAAAATATTTCCATAATATTATGGTGATTTGCATATGATATTCCTACTTAAGCTCAAGAAAAAAGTTATCTTTTCATTTTTAAAAAATGTTGATACCTCAAAATATCTTTGCTTTTTTTTCAAACTAGCTTCCCTAACAGAAAATTGTTATTTTTATTTGGCAGAATAAAAACGTCATATTAAATGACATTCTTATTAAATTTTTAGCTGCGTAAATTGAAATATCGGAAAAATAAATAACGCAATTTCGATGGAAAGGAAATATTTTCTTCAATTTTGAAATTTCTGGAGAAAAGATTAAACTTTTTTGAAAATGTATAAATACAGCTGAATCTAATTTTAAAGTAATTTGAAAGAAGAAATTTGTTGTTGCTCGTTTAGAACTTTTATTTCTTACGTACTAGCAATATTATGTATGCAGAACATAATATAAACCTAAAATATTTTTTTATAAATATTTTAGATCCCCGATAAAGGAGAATAGAGTAAAGTTTAATAATAAGTAAAATATCAAATGATTTTAATAAAATTTTGAGATCATCGTGTTTTTGAATACCGTAGAAATATGTAGGATCAAGGGGGGAAAGGTAAAGAAAATCATTATTTTATAACTTTTTCGAAATTACATAAATTTATTAAATATTTTCATATTTGTTGAACATTTTTAAAAAATAAATTGATTTTCATTTTAAGTCATTTCTTTCAGTTCATTATTATATTTTGTATTTTTTCAATAAAATGTTTTAATATGCTATATAACTTGTGGGTGGATTAAAGCGCTGATATTGGATGAAAGACAACTAACGTTGTAATTTGTTTAAAAAAAATTTAGAAAAGAAACAGTATGGACAAAACTTTTACACAGATGTGAAACTTACTTATGCTCCATTGATTGTCTGACTTGTTAAGTCAAGACGAAACATAATTTTAAACGTATAAACACATTTTTTAGTAAAAAATTAGTTTTAAACCCAATAATTTATTGCAATTAGTTAATTTAAGTAAACTTTTTACTTTTTTTCATTCTTAACGTAATCATAATAATTTATACTTAAGTTTTTCTCATCCCCTAATTATAATAAACGAATACTCAACTTTTAATTAACCTTAAGATAATGCATATTTTTTGTATATTTCACTTAAAATTGTATGAGACTGAAATAGATAGAAAAACTAACAGTTTTTCTTGCAAAAGAGTTTCAAATTTTCTAAAAAATGGAGATTGTATACATATAAAAAATGGAGATTCTATATTTATATATATATATATATATATATATACCAGGAAGGCAACTCAACACGAACGGAAAAAGCATGTTGCGGTATGCAAATCTTATGCGCAGCTTATCTCGCAGTCGCGAAAGCAGGCTGCGGTAGCGACACCTCTATAATGTGTATAAAAGTTGAGATTTGACAGTACGTTTCTCATACAAAAATTGAATTTGACCGATTTTCCTACGTTAAAAAGTTTTTGTTATGCCTCGTGTAAGAAGGAGAAATGCCTACCAGCACGTGTCTGACTTTGATTGAGGTCGAATTGCAGCCCTCCAGAAACGCGATTCATCATACCGAAGTATTGCTGTTCGCGCTGATCGAGATCCCATGACTGTTAGCAAAATAAGGAATAGATGGGTCCATGACGGTCATAAGGAACACCGTGCAGGATCTCAGCAACCCCCATCACTAGCACCCGAGAAGACAGACATGTTATCCAGAAGGCCTTAAGGAATCGTACAGCTACGTCACGAACCCTGAGTAAACAAATGGGGTCATTTGCAAAGATACAAATGTCAGCACGAACAGTTTGACGACGTTTGCAGCTGCATGGACTGCCAGCACGGTGACCATGGCTCCGGCTACCCTTGACGCTGCAGCACAGGCAGGAGAGCATCCAATGGTGTGATCAACGATGAACCTGGAGGCAAGAATGGCATGTCGTCGTTTTTTCAAACGAATCCAGGTTCTGTATACAGCATCATGATGGCTGCATACGTGTTTGGCTGCATCGTGGAGAACACCCATTGGCAGTTTGCATTCGACATCGCCATACTGGCACATCACTTGTAGTTATGGTATGGGGTGCCATTGGATACACGCCTCGATCACCTTTTGTTCGCGTTTGCCGGCACTTTGAACAGCAGCCGTTACATTTCTGATGTGTTAAGGCTAGTTGCTCTGCCTTATCTTCGAGACTTCCATAATGCTACGTTTTAGCAGAGCAATGCACGACAGCATGTTGCCTTAACCTGCACGCTCTCCTGATCTCTCTCCAATTGAAAACGTCTGGTCATTGGTTGCCAAACGACTTGCAAACCACCTCTAGTCAGTCACTAAGGTCGATGAATTGTGGCATAATATTGATGCTGCGTGGACAGCTGTACCTGTCCATAATATCCAATCTCTGTTCGAATAGATGTCCAGGAGAGTAACTGCTGTTACTGCTGCCAGGGGAGGTTGTTTTGAGTACTGATTTCACAGGTGATTCATCCAAATATCCTGAAAATTTAATCACTTTTTCTTTCAACTATTATGTATGTTCCCAATAAATATCATTCTTCCGTTATTTGCATTTCTTCCTGGTGTAGCAATTTTCAAGGCCATTAGTATATATATGATACCTTTACTTACCTTTTATCTGGCACCATATAATTCCTATAACAGCTCCCCACATACCAGCAACAACAAACATCATATTCGGCTCAGTTGAATCCGGGATCCAATATAGCATTCTAACGAGTAGAGCAAGCGTTACGGCTGCAGCAATTGTGAGAAACACATATCTACCTACGTACTTTTCTAGCAAACCATAGAAACAGGAAAACAGAGATATCGCGCATCCTGTAGATACCATGACTAAAGAAACATGCTCAACTCCCCATGCACAACCTATGAAGTCCTAGAAAATTATAAACAAACATGTATTTATTCATACTACTTTATTTATTGCAACAATAAGCAACAGAGTGTAGAATAGGGTGTGCCTTGGATTGGGCTCTGTTCTTTGAGGCTTTTATTGCACAAGAAATCGTCCGTATTCCTATTATTTTTATCTCAATATTTTATTATGCATGAATATTTTTAAATTTATTTTTTTCTCTTCTTTGTAATTGTTTACACATAATTTCATAATACTTATATATATATATATATATATATA